CTCTGGCCTGGCAATCACTGTTGGATGCCAGCCTGCCACTTCCTTCCCCACCACATGACCGCGCATGTCAGAAAGGACCCACTCCGTCAGAATTGACACCCGATCCCAACAAATAGAATACACTCCGTCCAGGGAATTCCAGTCGACCTGAAGAAGAGCAAAGAGATTGCTTGAAAACATTTGTCAACAGCGATATACAGTATATACGCATCGCGCACCTTTTACAGGTTCCAGATAGTGTAGTGTTAATTTATTTAATTTAAAATATATGCTTTCTACTTCAAATTAGTAGTGGCTTGTCCATGTACAGCACATTATACTTTCCTTTAACAATAGAGTCATGCTGGTCACATAACACCTTTCAGAAGAAAATTTTTGAATTTAAATATGACTTCTGGTTTGCATCAAAAGTTCTTATATAGTTAATTGAGGCCTATTGCCCCTAAAGTTTGCATATCTGGTCTCATCTTTCATCTATCTAACTCCCTTTTCAAGATTAACAAAGGAAAGACAGTGGAAATTTATAGGTCTACTAATTTTTTCAAATTGCAGTCCAATCACACAAATTTCACATAGATAGGCAGCTGTAAAGTTTTTTCAGAAATTCTAACTTATCTATTATAGATAACATATGGTGTTTGCATTCCACATCATGAGAAGCACTTCCTGTATTCATTGAAGCCATGTCTGGTGCTAAATGTCAGCAAGTTACAAAAAAAATACACAAATGGCAAATAGAAATGCCTTACCAGTGTTTGAAAATGCTCAAAAACAGTTTTTGTAGCAGCTAGCACCAAACAGCAGTGACAGATTTGTGTGGTGAGAAAAAAAATTTGAATTGCTCCCATAGTAAATAGTGCCAGATTATTGATTGTCAAATTAATAATGGTCAACCTATATAATATACAGGTAATCCCCATATAACATGGTAGTTACGTTCCAAAAAATTGCCATGTTATGCGAATCCGTGTTATACAAAACAAAGAACTAGTACAAAAAGGAGGGTTAGGTTCCAAAAATTAAAAAACATGCTATTATATTTTCATAATTAAGATAAATATCTTTATTAAAATTTAAGTGATACATATTAACATAAATTAAACAATGTTTTCTTCGTCATCACTAAAAGCACTATTAACTGAGAGCATTTTCTTTTTGGCAAGTTATACTTATCCTCTGAGCATTTTTATGCATTATCTTCAGATCCATGCTTTACCTTTTGCAAAAGGTATGTAATTTTAGATTGCTTGCTTTTAGTTAAAAGATCTTTATAAATTTTCTTATATGGTTCTAAGCACTTATGAAGAATAAAGCAAGTATGGAATAAAGGAAAAACATCTGGCAACATCAGAAGCGTCGAGATCTGACAACATTGAAACAAGTTTCAAGAAGGACCATGTGTATCGACAGAAGGAAAAGAAAATTTACATACTTAAGTACTAATACAGAGCCGTAACTAGGCAGGTGCAACAGGTGCATTCGCACAGGGCCCACTTGGAAGGGGGGCCCAAATTGCTGTTCACAAGAAATTATAGTTTTAAATCTTAAATTTTTCCTCCTTTTTATTGGCGATTACATTTTGCCTTATTTAGACCCTAGATGTCTGCTCACCAGTGTTCCCAACCGTGGCAACTTTTAGAGGGACGTAGTGAGATAGCGGAGACCGCAGACAAATCAGCCAAAAGTAGCGACTTTTGAAATTTTATTTGTTTTTTGAGAAATTTAAATTTATGTTTATAGTTTTCAAATTTATAGATTTTTTTCTCTACTTTATAGAGCTCTCTGGCAACGACTAATATTATTATGATATACAAAACTGTATTTCTAGATTTTTCTACAGTGTGCAGAGCTAGAATTCTGTAAAGGTAACATTTTGTAAGAAAAATAAATCTGCCCGGGGATTTTTTTAATTGCTAAATTGCTAAATAGAAGACGTGGTAACTCTCGAATAAAATCTTAGTCTCGAGGTTGTAAAAGGCGTGCAGAAATTCTGACATAACTTTTTGCTTTGTAGTGGTACGCATATGTGTTGTATACCTCAACGGCGGATTAAGCGGTAAGCGAACTATGCGGCCGAGTAGGGCCTCGAAGGGGCCCCCGAGGTCTTTAAAATGCTACTGAAAAAAGGCTGATTTTTGCTTTCTCTATGGCTCTTCTTTACAATACATGAGTGTTGCTGATTTAAAAAAAATCAGCTGCAGATCTCGCTATTAAATATAGCAAAGATTTAAAAAAGTACGAATTCACAAGTGAAATTGAAAGTTTTAAGTTTGAAGTAACGACTCTTATACAAAATATAGAAACTGCATCTCCGCTTAATATTCTACAGGCTCTTCATGATTTTGGTTTGAATCTTACCCAAATATCAATGTCGCTCTTCAAAATATTTCTAACTCTTCCCGTTTCTATTGCTTCGTGCGAGAGAAGTTTTAGCAAGTTAAAATTAATAAAAAATTATTTATGATCAACTATCGGGCAAGAACGATTGTCCAATATTTCTATTATTTCAATAGAATACATTATCATTAAAAATATTAATCATGTAATTAATGAATTTGCTGAAACGAAAGCCAGAAAAGTTCAATTAAAATAAATCTTATTAAAAATCTATTGTAATATATTTGTTTTATTATTTTCCCAAACCAAATAAATTAAGGGGCCTGAATGCAAATTCTTGCACAGGGCACAGGAATGGCTAGTTACGGCTCTGTACTAATAGTTCACAAAAATTATTATTTTCGTGAACTATTATTTCTTAAGTATGTAAAAATTTATTACATTTCATGTTGTACGAGGATTTTACCCAATTCTTAAACCATGTTAGAGTGAATCTGTGCTACAGAAGTGCCGTGTTATATGGGGCTACCTGTAAATAAATGATGCAACTCTCCAATAGTCATTCCAATAGAGAATGTGGCTCTCATGTATTTCTGATAGTGTGTGACAAGGTTTGGCCACTCCGGTAATACTTGATACTTTAAAATTTTTGTAATTCAAATGCATTGTATTTCACTAAGTTAAATGTACAACAGGGAGTACCTACCTACTGTAATGATATGCTAATTAAATGTCAAAAATGTCAGCTTTGAGTCATTTATGCTGGAATAAAGATGGTTCAAATGCTATCAAATTAAATTTTTCTCAATGACTAAGATATTAACAACAACACAATACTGGATATACCAAACAAAAAAACTACTCACGAATTCAACCACAATCCAGCAATTAAACAGTTACACAAACATTGAAATGTTTGTGTAACTGTTTAATTGCTGGATTGTGGTTGAATTTATGAGTAGTTTTTTGACTAAGATACAGTTTGTTGTAAAGTCATGATTTATATTAATTCTTTAGTGATTTTGCATTGTTTTCCTATTTTTGCTATGAACTGAAAAATGGCATAAGAAATTTTTGTAGCATTTCCCCCTCTCCAAGTGTGTATGATTTCAATAGTTTCATTTTTTCACTAAACAATTCATAAAACACAATATAGATATTGTTTTGACTTATACACATAAATACTATTAATTTAATAAATATTCGTACCTGTATTTCAATTTAGTACTCTTCTGATTATATAAACATTGTTTTGAATATTATTTTAATTAAAATTTTCAATATTTTTATAAAAAATGTTAGCCAATAATCCTTTTTATAAATCTAATCATTGTGCTTATTACAATATAAGCACAATGGCTATATAGATCACACTTTCTAGAATCAAAGTTTATGCTGAAAATGTTTAAAATTTTAATTATACAAATCCTAAAACCAAAAATAGTTTAGATAATTATAAAAGGGCAATATTTTAATCTCTGCCAGGAATCACTGGCATTATATTATAGTAGCAAACCATCTCAATAAAAATAACCAAAAAAATACCATAAATCCCAAAGCAAGTCTTGCTAAGACAAGACCCTCCAAAATTTTTGTTCCTGTTAGTTTAGCCAGACATACCTAAAAAACTAAGAGAAACATTTTTTCTAAAGATTTCCTCTCAGCTGTTTACTTACTTAAAACATATATATCGTATACATTTAGTAAATGATTTACTTTTGCTACAATATACTAGGAAGCATCAACAATATCCAATAAATATGTAAGTAAATAATCTCATGTTGGTAATACAAAACTTCATGTATTTTCCATCTTCTTATAAAAAGTAAAATGCTAATTTAAAATATTGTTTTAGGATATTATAATTTTTTTAAAATTAAAACTTCAGTTCTTGCAGATCTTTCAGTGCCAGTTAAAACAAGTTTTGAAGCAGAATATCTTTTAAAGGCATTCCTGAATCTCTATTTTTACATTTTCTGCTCAGACTGACTACAATTTTAGCAGATTGCCAATGATACCTAACAGAGAAGATTGCAAATTTTATATTGAATCATACACATTTCAATAAATTATTATAAAGGAATACTTTAACAACCGAGAGACTAAAAAAGCAAACAATTATAGAACAGTTTAACATTATCAGATCACATACCTGTAAATATAACAAACCCAGAGATTCACAAATTAAAAATCGTTAAACTTACACAAGTTACATTGCAATTTTAAGTTACAAAATACCGTACAATATTTGTTTATCCATAGCTTTCATTTACAGATTATGATCTAAAATCCCAGAGAAGTTCCAAGTTCTGAAGATCACTGTTCCAGTGCTAAGTACAGATTTGGGGTTCTGCAATAACATTGTTGATTATCATTTATTTTTTTTGTGAATATCATTAACATAGAAGTGAATTATACCAAATTTTAATATTTGTCTGTAAATTTATTCTTGGTATACTTAATTATGTATGGCCAGTAACTTTTCAAAAATTGATTTAAGATTTATTCAACGCGTTTTGTAAAAAAAATGAGCGTACATAAGAAACACGCAATAGCGGAACTAAATGACAATTATTAAATACTTTAGCATTAGTGTGTTTGTATCTGCAGCTGGTTACGCCTACCGAAATAATTATCTATCGAAAATTAATTATATAACTCACCTGTAATGTAGTTACATGTTTCTCATTGAATTTATTCTCCACATATCTCAGAACTAACGATGTTTTACCCACACAACCTTCTCCCAGCAGAACAACTTTAAAAGTAAAACTCCGATTCCCCGAAGCACTCGCAGCCATACTAATCCTGACTCAAGAAATAGTAAACTACATTCGAACCGGATAAAATTACATCTCAATTTCAAGTGAAAGCAATTATATTACAGTTAAAATATCACACCACAGTGTAACGCTTAATTAGTCACGATGTTTCGACAAGCCCAGCAAGTCCTAAAGCAGGATGATCTGACGTCATATTGATATAGTGAATATCGATAATAATTAATTTTTTATTGAAATTAATTTTTATTGANATGAGTCACTTGGATTTTACAAATACATGTGCAGGGCTGTGAACGGCTCACGTATTTGTAAAATCTAAGTGACTCGTACAACATGAAATTCATATAAAACGGAATAATCAACAGTGTTATGGGGTGTCGACTGTAATCAAATGTCTATTTATATCTTTATAACAACGATAAAAAATAAAGGGAAATCAATGGATAATTTTAACCCATTAAAAATTATTGCCACAGTTGTTACCCTTTTGTTACAAGTTTTTTCTTATAAATGAGCATTGTTTGCATTTATGTAGCGGTGAAGATCGATTTATTTGCTGTTTCTGTATTCAGCAATATCGATAAATAATGTAATAGACAAAATTGTTTAATTAAATTGCCTCAATGTCCTTTTTTCCTTATTAATATGTAAATTTTCGGCTATAAATTCGACTATCTTCTATTATCAGGACTTATTATACTGGTTTTACAGATAATATTACAAAGATTAACAGAAAACAATTTTTATTTTATTTCGTATACCTGTAAAACCAGTATAATAAGTCCTGATAATAGAAAATAGTCGAATTTATAGTCGAAAATTTACATATTAATAATGTAATAGACAGTTTGTAAATATAAAATATAGCATTGTTTAATTAATTAATGACCAAAACCTGAAATGTACTCAAAATCAAGTCGTAAGTATGCATTAAACACTAGAACATTAGCCTTTAGATTAGAGTTTTGACAACTTTTTATAAGATTATTTTAAATTAGCAATTGAATTGAATTTTATTTTTGAATATCTTATTTTATTATAAAAATGTTGTTGTAATTTCTGTTTGCTTCTTTTTATTTATCTTAATGGAACCGAATATTTAAATATTGGAAAAGATACAAAAATAAAATAATAAATTGTTATTCATTTGCAGAAAATCGTCTAATGCTCTAATTGTCTCCAGCAGACAATGAATGCAAAGTCAAGTACCGTTCCACCGTATAACATTTAATTGGGATTTTTAAACATCCCGTAAAAAATTACTATTAATTGCGTGTCTTTATATTAATTGCCAACACGTTATTAAATAGTTAATATAATTATATAATAAAAATAATTTAACTTACTTATGCAATCCATCATTTTACGCACTACTAACTTTCGATAATATAACCTTTAACAATCGATAAATCTCTTCAACAATAGTTGAAAACTTATTCTTATAACTTATTGTTTATGCAACAATAAAAAACGTGCTTACATAATCGAAGCTCGTGCTAAGCATTACGCCTGTCAATCAGTTTTATTTTTGGGGTATTTTTGGTGGGTAACTATAAAGAATGACATATGCGATTATAAGTAAGGATGTTTGTTTGTTCGTTAGCTAGAACCNGTTTATGCAACAATAAAAAACGTGCTTACATAATCGAAGCTCGTGCTAAGCATTACGCCTGTCAATCAGTTTTATTTTTGGGGTATTTTTGGTGGGTAACTATAAAGAATGACATATGCGATTATAAGTAAGGATGTTTGTTTGTTCGTTAGCTAGAACCACCTAGAAGTATATACTTCTAGGCCGTTCTAGCTAATACTTCTAACGTACATCATGTTCGACCGATTGCTAAGAAATTCGGTTCGGTACTTACTTTCAAATATTTCTAATGTACAGCATGTCGTACATTCCATTGCGAAATATCGATTACATAACTATAAATTAATTAATTTTTGTTTACGTTTCGTTTCGTTAATTATGGGTACCCAACACTCGGGAGATCTGCCTAAGGGGTTCCTTCTGTGAGGTCTTTATAAGGGGAAACTGACTTATATTTAGGCGTTACAGAAATGAAGAAAACCCAAAAAACTCCACGTGGCCAGCCTGTCCGAGCGCGGCGCGATTCCAGGACGAAACTTTCAGTGTTCATGAACAAGTCTACTCAATGTGCGGAGACAATGTCCGCTTGTAACTTTTAGAGGATATCTCGGCACAGGATAAAAATGGAAGGAAAACACCTTAGCGAGGGGGGGCATAGATTCGCGAAACAAAATGACAAAGAACGTAGTGTTTTTGTGGCCTCGGTATAAATATCTTGTGGACTTTATTAGTTATTTCTCGATCCCTGACGGTCTTTTTCTGTTGCCAGTTGAAATTAAACCAGATTGGTTTCTGAGAAAGACGATTGTTTATTAATACAATTCGACACCGTCTTTTGTTCGATGCTGAAGGAACCTTGTACCTCACTAACATTTCCATTTTTGTTTGTCTTGTCTAGAGCAGATTACCACAAATGAGAGTCATTATTCAACATCGTGTTCTGCGACTTTCATTCTATACTCCGTTTAACAATGGTGTATTAATTTAGGCCAGTTTTGGCTGTGACTGATAGAATTATTTTTCACGCAAATTTGGGGATGAGGGAAATTTTCCTTAAACTTGAACCATATGATTTACTCTATCTTTAACCAATCCTATGTCACAGGAAAACTCGATCGCGACAATTGTGTTTTTTCTTTCATAACGCAAGTTTTCTTACAACAACAAAATAAGCTGTGTCATTAATATAAATACAAGCAGACTTATATAATGAATTACAATCAAAAGTTTCATTGTAACCACAATCGGATCAACTAATCTTTCATTGTAATAGTATCATGTCAGCACTCTCCTGGCAAGTGACATTGACAAATTTCAAATCGCGAGAAATTTATATATACGTGTATATCCAATCCCTTAATAAGGATACAAATCAAGTTACATACTTAATTCCAAACAAAAATTCATTCAAATACATAACCGTACCACAATGTTCTGTCATTATGTACAAATTACCTTCTTTATTTACAAGTAAAACTACTATTGTGAATTCGCGATAAATAATTGATATTGTTTTGTTTTATTTTCAAACCTCTTCATTCAAAAGAAAAGTGCTGTTTTCTTTTAGAACAGAGAAAAAGACAAAATGCTATCATTTTACAATTTGTACTTAAATTGATCCCACTCGGCAGTAATAATCTGTTTCGACTTTCGAATTAGGGAAATGACGTAGTTTCATCATGAACAATGTCATCCTAGGTATTATCTTTCAAAGAAAACCTTAAATTACTGCTCTTTGGACATTATGACGTTTTTGTTGTAACTTGTCGGTGTTTTATATACTTCTTAATATAATTTAACGATCGCGTATTGTCGCGGTATATTTCCTTAATATTTATAGTCGTTTGCGTGCTTTTATTCTATGTTAATCTCCCCGAAGGATGCAAAATTTTCGTTTCTGCATTTAGTAGAAAGCAATTGATTTCACACGGATTATTTCTCTTTCAAAACCGTTTCAATTTTCTTATTTCCACAAAATATTATATCTATCTGTATAATTTTTTTTCTTCCAAATTCTACAGACTTCTATTTGTGTATATGGTTTTACTGCGTATTTCTGCAAATCATTCTATCGATGTCTACTAATTAAAATATTCGTTCGCGTGCTATTACGAGGGTAGTGCCAGAAGTACCCGACCTAACAAAGAAGACAGAAAAAATTTGGTAAAACATATCTTTACTTTTCANTTTTTTTCTTCCAAATTCTACAGACTTCTATTTGTGTATATGGTTTTACTGCGTATTTCTGCAAATCATTCTATCGATGTCTACTAATTAAAATATTCGTTCGCGTGCTATTACGAGGGTAGTGCCAGAAGTACCCGACCTAACAAAGAAGACAGAAAAAATTTGGTAAAACATATCTTTACTTTTCAATATAGTCTCCTTTTAGCTTAATACACTTTTTCCAGCAATGTACAGTACAATAGCTTCGATCCCCTGTTTATAGTGAGAACTGTCGAGCTTCTTAAAATAGCCATCAATCGCAGACTCAGCCTCTTCATTGTTGTAAATCTTTTATCACCAAGCCATTTTTTTATGTTTGGAAAAAGAAAATAATCCGAAGGGGCTAAATCTGGAGAATAGGGTGCGTGAGGTAGCAACTTGAACCTTACTCATTAATTTTGGCCATCGCAATAACGGATATGAGAACTGGTGCGTTGTCTTGATGAAACAACACTTTTTTTCGCCAAATGTGGCTGTTTTTTCTTGATTTTATCACTCAAGCGCTGCAATAAGTTCGCATAATATTTGCCGTTGATTGTTTTTCCTGGACGCATTCCAAAAAACTGACGCCATGACCTTGCCAGCAGATGGAACTGTTTTCGCCTTCTTTGGAGCTGATTCTCCCCTTTCAGTCCATTCTTTCGACTGTTCTTTCGTCTCAGGTGTGAAGTGATGCATCCATGTTTCATCCATGGTTATATATCGACGCAAAAACTCGGCTTTGTTACTGCGAAACATTACCAAAGACTCGATTGAAACATTCTCACGACGCTGTTTTTGTCCCATTGTGAGCAAACGCAGCACCCATCTTGCGCACAGCTTTCTCATGTCCAAATTTTCAGTTAAAATGCGATGTACAGCACTTTTTGAAATGCCTACCATGTCTGCTAGCTCTCGCACTTTGAGTTGACTGTCATCCAATACCATTTTGTGGATTTTTTCCACCATTTCTGGCATGGTCACCTCACTTGGTCGACCACTACGATG